CCACTAGGCCGGCCCAGCTCAATGTTATTTCAAAAGCGCTGGACCATTACGCATTTTGTACAGTGGCCCGTGAACGCTAGGGGATCGCAAACCCGAAAAGAGAATAGAAAGTATCTCTGCTATTGGCTCCAAACTCTTTTTCATGCATCGTAGTAATAAACGTTGTCCTTCTCATCTATGATTTTTAGGCTAAGTTTTCCAGGAAACGTCTGGAAGAGAACATCATGGTGCTGGCCAAGACAGGAAGGGCTTGGATAGCTTGGGGAAACCGTCTTCATGTTTTCAACTCAGGGTCAAGATGAAAGCAACGCCTTTGAGAAGTTCAGATTTGGAGAGTAGATGCCTCACCTTATGCAGGCCTAAATCACCTGGTCTCATCGTGCCTGTCTGCTTAAATCGTTTAATTGATAAGGATGGACTGGTATCTCCATAGATACCCTGAATCTTAAACCAGTAAACCTCAGCCGCCATGCACAAAAGTTCCTATTGAACTACAGAACTTGAAATCTCTTTATCTTCTTTCTGGACTGATAACACTTCTTAATTTTGCTCTTTCCAATGAAATAATTACCTCTTACAGGTGGTTCAATCACTTTAGTTTTTAAAACTTGATCAGTCTCTGTCTTGGTCCTGTTTCCTTCTACTCTTGAAAGACTCAGAAAAGAGAAACTTAATGTGTCTCTTGCTACAATTAACACTTTAAGTCAACGTAAAATTGCAGTGCATAAAGAGCTCATCCTTTTTTACTTACCCAATGTTCCTTTACCTTTTCAAAATATAGCATCTAGTAACCTGATAGTTTTCCAAAAGTCCTTTTCATCCTTTTTCCTAAATGTTCAGGTCCAGCATCATAAAATAGGCATGTTAGATAATTCTTTGTTGCTTTTTTAAAATTTGTTTTTCTTACTACTGTTTGAGGCCTGACAGGTATTTGGCTCTTCAAAATGGTGAATAGAACTGGCATAAATACTCCAGTAATTGAGAAAGAAACCACCCAGGTTGCAGAGAGCTGTGAAGTGACCTCTGAGTAAAAGACAGGAATTAATCTGAGTCAGCACTCGCCCTGCCATCTCTAATGTATTCTTTCATACATCACTATTAGGAAAGCATGGCTTACCTGGAGCTCTCAGTTCCCGTCCTCTTCAAGCTGTTGGGGTTGCGGATGAGTTTGTCCAACATGTTGACAATCTGCCCAAATTTAGGCCTGTCGCTTCTCTCCTTCTGCCAGCAGTCTAGCATTAGCTGGTGGAGTGCAATGGGGCAGTCCATTGGAGGGGGTAGCCGATAGCCTTCCTCAATGGCTTTAATCACCTATGGAAGAAAACACAATGGTATGCTAAGCTGCCAGGCAAGCTTTGGGAACAGCTCCAATTCCTTCACAGAAGCCAAAGCTGGACCTGAGTATCACTGGCAACAGGGCAGGCAAGCCAGCTGTTGCTATGAGGTGTTTTCAAACGGTAGGCAATGTGAATCTGCAACTCTAAAGTGAAGGTGCGTCAGTGTTCCTAAGTGATGGACCCAATGAGATCAACAACATGGTGTGGGCCTGACCCTTAGAAATCACACGGCAATGACCCTCCCCAGTCTGCTATCCAGCTAAACACTGATAGCAAAAGAGACACTAACCTAGAGTTGAAGACCTTCCTCAGGAAGTATTAATAGTTTCCTCCAAAATGGAATTTGCTCTGCATCATTTTAAGCCTGTGTCTTTTTTTTTTTCTCTTTTAAAGATTTTTATTGGGGAATTGGGGATGGGAACAGCACTGGGGAATTGGGGGAAGGGGAACAGACAAGTTGCTGTCATTTTGTTCTTCAGTCTAGTTGTGGAGGACGTTGCTTCACTGGCCCAAGTTGGCACCATCATTGCTCTCTTCCCGGGCGAGGCAGATCAGTCACCGGCTTCTGGATGGCTGTTCACTGCAGCTGCTGGCCGCTCACGCTGGCTGCTGGTTACACACGGTAGACCATGGCAACCCACTGCAGCAGTGGCTGCAGCCTACGCCATAGCCGGTGACTCATGGCAGCCCAGCTCCAGGTTGAGCTGTTGTTCAGCATCTTAGCTGTAGAGGGCAGTATCACTGGCCCTCATATGTGGGATCCGAACCGGGGCCGTCTGGCATCCCAAGCCAGCTCTTAACCAACACGCCACTCGGCCGGCCCAAGCCTGTGTCCTCTTGATCAGACAAGAACCCACTTTCCAGACCTCCCATCCAGGAGACACCACCTCTCTCTGCCATAGCACACTTTCCAGCCCCTCCAGATGCCAAACCATTTTTACTTTTAGAAGAACAAAATACCCAAATGTAATTCTGTATTATCTCTTTCTTGGTCTCAGTTGGCTGTCAACTGACCCCATTTAAGATGTTAGTGAGTAGATTTTTTTTTTTAAGTATTAGCAAAAAACTTTTTTAAAAATTAAAATTTATATTTTAAAGGGGATACCTACACATCTAAGGAAAGAAGTTATAATGGTAGACAATAATTATCTTACTTCCCAGAGTGGTCTCCTTTCTAATAAGACATAAATAAATCATTCAACAGTCTTTCTTCTAATTCTAATTTTTCTAACCTGTCTTCGGAGGCATTTGTTCTCATTGGTTTTTCTCTAACACCCCCCCCCCTCCGCCCCCGCCCTTCTTCATGGCCTAAATCCCAGTAATGCAATGCGGTATATGACTCATGCCAAATTTAAAGAGGGAATTACTTCATAATTTCTTGGCTACTCATAAGATTTGTTTATGACTATCCTATGGGATTCTGGAGGTGCTTTTACTTGTTTGGGGATTTTTTAAAGTTTTATTTGTTTTAAATCAGT